CAATGAAATTTCCTAATTTATTTAGATGTCTTGCGTGATGGCAAACCCTTTGCAGGACTAAAAATCTTTGAATAAAGGTTGAATAAATAAAGATAAACATAGTTTACGCAAATTTCTGAACATATTCAAAAGGAATGATTCTGATTCAAACGCGAACTTTATTATAAAAATACATGTTCTACAGGGGTTTAAGATCTAACGCCAGTAACACAACAAATATTAAAAAAAAAAAAATCCATCAGATGCTAATATTTCTGCTGACAAGTTGGCTCTTTCGTATGCATGATTCTGTATTCAAATCACGTACATACAAACTTATCTCTCAAGTTTTAAATGACTTTCGGAAGCTTAATGTCATTAATTTTTAACAACACAAATCCGCGAGATTTCATCGCCGTGTGCAGCTATCAAAAGCCGCACTTTTGACAAAAGACAATCAAAGGTTTCGGCAGACTACCACATGCCACCTCCTGCGCTTCTTTTTTCTTTATCATTAAAATAATACTTGAGATAGCACGCGACTCTGCATAAAATTTTCGTTAACATCTTGTTTTGATGTGAGTTTCTGAATATGAAAAAAGTATCGCATCATGACGTTTGACGGTTCATCCTGTTTGATTCTGATGTCGTTTTCTTTTCCAGTGGCACGTTCATTTCTTTTCTATTATTCTTCGCAGTATCTTGTCGATCACCAACCTAAATTGCCAACTTCTCCAGTAATAGACATATGGGTTTAAAGAACTATTACATAACGCCACGGTGTTGACCCAGGGAAAGGCGCGTTTGGCGTTCTTGACCACAGCCGGCGACGCCCCAACACTGAAGAAAAACGGTAGAACGATGAGCGGTGTAATGCAGACATAAAATGCCCCAACGACCACGGCTATCTTGTGGAGAGTCCTTCGCTCTTTTGTGAAGCTTTTTTGGGAATTAGAAAGTTTTTTCGCTGGTATTTGTTTCCTAATTCGTTGCTGTTGAAGTCGCACAATGTAAAATAGTCCGGCGTATAAAACAGGCATAATTAACAAGACTGCAATTACATAGTATTGTGCAATGTGACGCGCTTTTCTCAGAGTTGATGCCGGCGCCCCAAAGCTTACTGCTATGAGCCATGTGAAAACAATTGATTTCCAGATAGTGTGATCCCTGATGAAGAAACTGTGTCGGTGAAGGAAGTACAGCGATAGAAAACGCTCCACTGAAATGGTAAATAGATGGCTGACGGAGACCAGCGTTGAAATCCAGGTCACCGCTGTTCTGATCATGTTTAGCTGGGTGGGTAACAGGTCATAAAGGAACAAAACGTACATTGGCTGAGCAAACGCACAAACCAATAAATCCGCCACGGCTAAGCTGGCGATGAAGAGTTCTGCTTTCGGCCTTCCTAGAAAACGGAATTTCGTCACAACAAAACACACCAAAAGATTGCCCACGGCACCGACAATGCTTGCTGCCGTGTTAACAGCTGCAAGACCTTTCACTTCTGAGGTATCTAGGCCTGATGGAGACTTTTCCAGGCGAGTTGAGGGAACATAGTTGGAGTTGCAATAAACTGTGCAGTCTGTGTCATTAAAAGACATTTCTGTGGCTAAGAATTGCTTCGAAGTTGTTTCAAATTTTCTCTGTGAGCATTCTTATTCCTTTTGCTCTCTTCAAGATCTGAGCTTATTCTTGACTGAATCGCACTTTAGTTATTTCTTTTATAATGTTGATTTCCTCTTCGGCTGAAACGTTATCCAACCCAGCAGACTCGTCCAAACCTGAGAGTATTATGACAAGTCATCAAACTCTAAATGGCTGTTTTCAAAAATATATTAATTGTTTGCATTGATTATTCTTGAAAATCAGGCTATCTTTCATATCTCTCAAGACAGCAGTTCACATCATAATGTAATCAACATCCGCCTCGGGCGATTTGCGCAGCCAATGAAATTGCTTGCCTGTACTTCTTTTGTTTTTCATATGAAGGAAAGACAAATCAAACAGTTATAATAACTTCTGAGTTTAAAGGCTCTATCACGAGCTATTGACGTTGTTGTCAAAACATGGAAGTGTCTTTTCGCGGTGAACTGTTATTGCAACTAAAACTTAGAGATCACTCCAGATGTTGAGTACTCTTGCACTATAAGGAAAGTCTATGTTACGATGAGGAGATACGAAGATAACCTTATTCAACTGTTATTTAACCCCAAAATGCAAAACTAAGTTGCGTCGAGAAATTCGGTTTCACATGACAAGAAAAAATTATCACGTTTCTTCAATACTATTTAATTTTTTCAAGTACTGTCAATAAGTTCTGCCTAATAAGAAAAGGTGACGAAAAAGAAAATTCAAATTAGAATGTTTACGTTTCTTTGATATATTTCTACCTGCTATTGTTGCCAATTTTTTTTAAGTATTATTTTAGCGGAGGAATAGGTCTTACATCACGTAACAATTACGTATAAAAAAAAAAAAACAAAAACAACCAAAAAGGAAAACATGCACACCAAAGACCCTTAAAAGAAGTACATTGAAAAGAAGTCTCTTTGTTGGAGATCCTTGAGAGAAAAAAAATCAGCTGTTACCCCCTGGTACAACGTAGAATTTTCATTTATGTATGTTTTCAATAAATTTTGAAACACAGTAATACGTGAGGCAGGTACATACATATTGTATTTTATTTCGCCCGCAAAAATGAATCAGTCGGTTTCCAAAACACATTTACATCCATTCGTGAAAGAGGAAGGTATCAAAATTAGAAAGCTTCCTAGGAAATTAATCAATTGCAAAAGTGTTTTTAATCAAAAATTGATTAGGAAACCAATATTCTCCTTGAGTTTACGTGAGTTGAGATATTACTATGTAGGTAATTTTGCGAATTTTTGAACAAATCAAAAGAATCTTTACATGGAACTGAAGCGATTTATGATTATATCTGAAGGATGTGCCTCTCGAAGAAGCGTATTGGTTTTTGTAAACAATATCTACAAACTGAAAAGTATACGTTGAAATCATGATGCCAGAAGGTAAAACAGTTTGATCACTGAAAACAAAGATCATCAGCGATAATAAACGCGTGAACATGTACTCATCAAATTATTTAAAGAGAGAATGAGTCTTCTTATTTTTTCATAAAATATCCACTGATCGTGCCAGTTGAGGAAACACGAAATGAAAAAGAAACTAAAAATTAAAAGAAATACTACGTAAAACAAGAAGAGTAAATAAACTCGCATGGACTTAAAACTACCTTTAATGAATTTCATGATACAAGAATAATCAACTAACTTCGCTCTGAGAAAGGGCTAACGCTCGAAACATCACTTTCAGAAACTCTTTACGGTCGCTAATTTACATTATCAACTCAATTGATAAAATCTGCAAATCATCTTGGAATAACCCTACCCCCTACCCCCTTCCCCCGCCC